TCAAAACAATTTCAATCAAAATTCCTATGGAAATTGGCAAGCTAATTCTAAAATGTATGATAATTCAACTAAAAACCTTATAATAAACAAAGCCACTTTTAAAAAGAGCAAGTTGGAAGATTTACACTATCTAATTTCAAGAATACCCTATAAAGTTATAGTTATCAAGACAGTGTGGTGTTAAAGGATATATATATATGGATATATATACATATGTTATATAGATATATATATTTTCCACCTCTCTCTTTCTCTTGCACTCTCTCTCTCTCTATATATATATATATTCATTCATATCAGTGAAACAAAATATGAAGTCCAGGAAAAAATTCACATATATATGATCAGCTGGTCAACTGATTTTTACAAAGGGGCTAAGACAGTACATAGGGAAATGATTGCCTTTTCAACAAATGGTTTTGGAGAGAGAGATAGAGACACTAACTTCTGTCCTTATTTCTCATCACACACAATAATTAATCATTTGGATCACTGACCTAGGCATAAAAGCTCAAAGAATAAAGTTTCTTAAGAAAAACAAAACAAAACAAAACATTAAATTAGGCTGGGTGCTGTGGCTCAAGCCTATAATCCCAGCACTTTGGGAGGTCGAGGTGGGAGGATCACTTGAGGGTGGGAGTTTGAGACCCACTGGCCAACATGGTGAAACCCCATCTCTACTAAAAACACAAAAATTAGCTGGGTGTGGTGGCATGTGCCTGTAATCCCAGCTACTCCGGAGGCTGAGGCAGGAGAATCACTTGAACCTGGGAGGTGGAGGTTACAGTGAGCCAAGATCATGCCACTGCACTCCAGCCTGGGCAACAGAGCAAGACTCTGTCTCACAAACAAACATACAAACAAACAAACAAAAAACATTAAATGAAAAACTTTGCATCTTGCCGATAGGCAAATATCTTCAGGCACAAAAAGCAGTGATAATAAACAACTTATTTAGACTTCATCAAAATTAAAATCTTCTACTCATCAAAAGTCATCATTGAGAAAACAAATAGGTAAGTCGAAGACTGTGGAAAAATATTTACAAAACATATTTCTGATGAAGAATTTCCATTCAGAATATATACAGAACTCCTACAACTCAATAATAAAAATGCAAACAACCTGGTTAAAAACAGGCACAAGATTAGAATAGACCCTCCTCAAAGGAACAATAAGCACATGAAAAAGAGCTCAATATCATTAGACATCAGTAAAGTACAAATAAAAATCACCATGAAATCTCATTATATTCCCCCCACAGGAATGGTTGAAAATCTTAATAAAGGAATGATTAGAGATCCCATCATACACTTGGTGGTGGGAGTTTAAAACGGTACAGCACTTTGGGAAAACTCCTAGGAGCTTATTATAAAACTGTACATATATTTACCCTGTGACCCAGAAACTCCACTACTGGTAATCAATCTAAGAAATATTAAAGTATACATAAATAAGTTTTTATAACAAAGTTTATTAAAGTTTTATTCATAATAACCAAAAAAAAAAAAAAAGTGGAAACAGTCCAGTATTCATCAAGAGGATAGAAACAAAATGGTGGCATATTCAAACAATTGGGATACTAATCAACAATGTAAGGAGCAGACAACTGATGTAAGTGCTAACACGGGTAAATCTTTGAAAACATTATGCTGTGTAAAGGAAGTTATATACAAAGAGAACCTATTGAGTAATTCATCTATGTGCATTTTTAGAATGGGCAAAACAAATGTGTGATGAAAACAATTAGCATAGTTGTTGCTTCTGGAGGTGCTGGCAGTGGAGATTGGGAAGGAACCTGAGAGAAGTTTCTAGAGTGATATTAATTTTCTATATCTTGACAGCAGTTTGGATTATCCAGATATATAAATTTTCAAAACCGATAGAATGACACATTTAAGATTTGTGCAATTTACAGTAGGTAGATTTTACCTAGAAATAAAGAAGAAACTTATATTAAACTCTGCTAATGATATGCATGCTTAAGTGTTTAGGGGTGATATATACTAATGTCTGCAACTAACTCAATTACATCAATACATATGAGAGATTGATACATAAATAGAAGGATAGATGAATGGGTAGATATGTAATACATCAAAAATAGCAAAGTGTTAATTGTAGAATCTTGGCAATGAATTGGGTGAACAGTATATAGTTCTTTCAACTTTTCTGTATTTTTGGCAATTTTTACAAGTAAATTTTTGGAAAAATTACAGATGATTGGAGGATCCTAAACGCAGTCTTCTCTTCAGTTCCAACCCTACTACCTATCCTACTTCATAACTCTATACCAATGTTTGAATTATAAAAAAAAACCTCTCAGAAGAATGCTTATTAATTACTTTAGTGATACATGTAAACAACTCCCCCAATTCCATGACTGGCATGCCGAGAGTACTGTTTTTAACATGGGAATTGCTAATGGTAAAGTGGCCTTATTGCATTTGAGCTGAATATGTGTGCAGACTAAAAATTAGCCAAACTTGCCTGTAGTATTTAGAGCTATAGACCTAAAATCCTAAGATTAAACATATTAATTGTTCCATCTTGGCAGCGTTTGAAGCAGTGGTGTCCTCAGGTTTGAATCTATAGTTAACAGGTCACTATTGCGCCTCTACCTTCACCCTTTTTTATTTTATTATCTCCCTGCCTGCTGGAGGTGATTGTTGTAAAGCAGGGGTCCCCAACACCCGGGCCGCTGACCAGTACGGGTTCATGGCCTGTTAGGAGTTGGGTCACACAGCAGGAGGTGAATGAGCATTACCCATCTGAGCTCCGCTTCCTGTCAGATCAGCGGCGGCATTAGATTCTCATAGGAGCACGAACCCGATTGTGAACTGCGCATGTGAGGGATCTACATTGCACACTCCTTATGAGATTCTTAACTGATGCCTCATGATCTGAGGTGGAACAAGGAACAGTTTCATCTGAGAACAATCCCTGCACCCCTCTCCACTCAGTCCATGGAAAAATGGTCTTCTACGAAACCTGTCCCTGGTGCCAAAAAGGATAAGTACTGCTGTTTTAGACAACTGCACTATTTAAGGTTTATATACTTAATTTGCCACAAATCTAGAAGCACTTAAGATAATCGCACAGAACATTTGAAGTTTTCTTACTAGAAAAGAACATTTTAAATAATAAAGTTGTATGGGATACCATGCGTCTTAAGATTCAGATTCAGGCTTGCTGAGAGAGGGCTTCCTAACCCACCCTCACTATCTTTGGCCGAATATATTTACAGTGGCAATGGGCTATTTCTCAGCAATTGCTTTCTAGGAATTTATCTTTCCCTCCCCAAAGAGTGGGCTTTAAAATGAAGCACATAGTTTCTTGAAAATATCATATTAGAGTGGTTATTGTGTTAAATGCTTTCATTCTCTCACCCCGTTTTTATTAAAGCCACTCTTCTCCTGGGGGATGGGGGCAAAGACGATCAGAAAGGGGCAAAAACACAAGAAGACAAAAACATTCCAGGAATGCTGTTACTGCTTTCATAGGTCACAGCCTTTTCTGAAAATTTGTCAGGTGTCCTCTCCCTCTGTTTTGCAGGTGGTTACAATCATAATTGGGCCCTAAAAAAATAAAATAAAAGAAGTTGTGGTTGGAGATCAAAAGTTAAAAACATCATTAATTATTGATAGGCCTGGATTTTGACAAGAGCATTCTTTGGGTCAGAGATGAGTTAAGAAGCACTTAACAAATAAGCAGCCTTGCAGATTATTTTTGCAGTTCTTGTTGGAACAAAAGAAATTTTAAAAATATATAGGATTTTATTATGTAGATATGACAATCTTTTATTCAAAAAATGATTACTATATTATACAAAGCCTTGCCTCTTGACCAAACATTTAAAATGAATGGTAGAAAAAAAGACCATCACATAAAAAGATAGGTGGTCAATGCCAAGTGTGACATTCACATATTCAGAGAAAAACATTTTTCTTTATCCCATTCTCTACTCCTTTGAGCTATTGTTTTGAGGGAAAGCATTTTTGTTCTTTTCAATGTGTATTCCTTTTGACCATTGTAGACTAATTTGAATTTTTTCTAAGTAGGTCACAAATAAGTTATGATGCTGCTCGTTTCTATTTTAACAGCAGCACAGTAACAACGAGCCACGTTTTCGAAGGAGAGGCTTCTGGGTACCAGTTAGAACAGCAGTAAGAGTCGAGACATGATGTGTTCCTTCTTTATTCTTTACCCCCCACATGAAAAGGCCTTAGCCCCCAGCTTTGCCTCAGGCCAAAGCCATGAGGCCATAGCCTAAAGCTCCTGATGAATCCTCATAGACTTCGCTGGTCAGAGTTTCTCAGACAAAACCAGCACAAAACAAATGCTTTTCACTTGATGTCTGCCTCTTGAAAGCTTGGAGCAAAGGTATCTCTTTGAAAAAAACAAAACAAATTTGAAATTATGCTTATAAGGCCATTTTTTTATCTTTTGCCATTTGTGTATGCAGCAAACGCTAAATATTGTATTGCCTAGCAGGAAGTCAAATACAAGTACCCACCGTGTCTTAAATAAAATAAGAGGCATGTTCATTTAGAAACTGTGAGCGGTAATTCAACATGAAAATCTGGGGGCAAAGAAATGATCTTGGGAGCCCCTGGGCAAACCTGGAGAACTGGCACATGGGCAGTCAGCAACCTGCTTTCCTTCATTACCAATGGGATGTGCATTGCCTTTTTTCCCCTGTCTTTATTCATTTTTCAACAGCCTGCCACATGCAATATGCCAAATCTCATATAAAAAAGCCTTCTACACACACACACACACACACACACACACGCACACGTGCACACACACACGAACTAAAGAACCTTCAGCAGATCCCGACATAGACAGACAGTAAAAACAGCCATCTGCACTGAAGCCCAGGATTTATTCAATTATACTTGCCCAAGTCATTTGTTTGGCTTTGCAATGTAAAGAGTTCTGTTTTATTGTTGGGGCTTTTCAGGCTGTCTAATTGTTTTCAAAACTCTTCTCCCCAGATGCGTTCGGCATTTACCAACAGCGAACAAGCACGAGCAGTGGAACGCAAAAATGTGTGTGCATCAAATGAACATGAAAATCTTCACCCAGGTCACCTGCCAGAATCAGACTAAGGTTCCTGGTATTTAATGGAAAGGTTAAAAGAAGTTTACAGCTTTAATGCCTGTGGCACACTGATTACTTTTCAAGATTTTGAGGATTAAAGCCTCTGAGAGTCTTTCGAGCAAGTTTGAACAGTGGTGTTGGGGAGCATGAATGGCAGGTGGCTGGTCTACAAAATCTCATCCAGGTTCAAGCTTCTGGACATGATGTTATCAACGCCCCACTCAGATTTCATGTTTGATCCTGAGGATTCTATCATTGCTCTAATCAAGTCAGATATGTGGTTAATGCTTCACATTTTTATTTAAAGCAAGGCTTTTAGTACTATGTATGTTTTCAGTTAAACCACATAGCTGCTCTAGCATAGTATTATTTGTGACCCTAGCTGCTGTCTCCAAATGCTCATTGATATTCTTGTAAAAAAAAAAAAAAGAATAATCATTGAGGTTCTCTTTCACAAAGCCTCTATTCTTATCAATGGCCATATAATGCTGGTATCTTTTGGGTCAAAATGGAAAGATTTCATGCTGTACTTTGAAATACAGTATTATTTAGCACAATAAGTCTATCACAGGAAATCTTAAGTTTAATGTACAAAGCATATTTAAAAACCCACAAAATTGGAAATTTTTATGATCAGAGATGAATCCAGTATTTCGGGTGCAAGCCTTGTTTAATGTACACCTGCTGAAAACATTTCATACATAAACACAGATGGATATCTCCATGTATATACATATATATGTATATGTGTGTGTGTTTCCATGTCTGTCTCTATCTTTATACCTAACTCGGAAAGTTGATTACCTTAGTTATAGTTGGGCATATTTTATCCTCGCTTTTAGCTTACAACAATTATGGAAAGTCTGAATTTTGTTCATCTGTCTGCATTTGAACATGTCAAACATCTGTTTATTTGTTCCAGTCAGAATCATTTTACCCTATAAAAGAATCAAGCAGAAGACTACTTATAGTTTGTCTCTGACATTTTGTTAAAAATTAAAAGCTTCCTCCCTCCCTCCCTTTCTTACTTCCTTCTTCCCTTCTTTTCTCTATCCCTCCCTTCCTTCCTTTCTTTTTCCTTCCCTTCTTCTCTCTTTTCCTCCAAGTGTCGGTGCCTGGCTAGAATTGAAAATAAACTACCCTTTCTTTCACTGTTTCCAAAAAAGTATGCAAATGGAAATTTAAAAGCTATCACATAAAAGTATATCCAAGTAAAATCCTATATGAGAGACATGAACATAAAAACAAATGCTCCTAACTGTAAAATCAGGCAAAATGCCATGTCGATGTGTGCAGTCATGTAGTCAACTAACTCAAGATTACCCTTGTGGTGTTTTTCTTTCCAGAATTATTCAGTTCCTCAGATTCAGATATGAAGGGAATGCAGTGTATTTCATTTCTGAGTTGCACCCATAGGTGATACACTGTAGGTGACCTTTATATCTTTTTGTTTTCCTGATTGCTAGCCTGAAGATATCTGTTCCTAGGGAGAGCACTAGCAGATTTTTTTTTTTTTTTCTGGAGAAACTCTGAGAGAGTTGCTCAGTTTTGGTGCTTGGTTAGAAAGCTTTCCGTGGGCTCAGATGGAAGCTTTCCTTTGCAAGCTATCACAAGTGTAGGAGTTGTCTCCTTTTATCTGAGGGAAAGAAATGGGGAAATAACCAACAGGAGCAAGTCTTCATTTCTATGGTGTCCTGGATGCCTCTCTTTTTCCTGCTTCCCCTTATTTCATTTTCTGGGTATGAATTTGAAACATGGTGGGTTATGGCTTTGTCTTTCCAAGATTTATTTAGTAAGATTTTGCGATCAATATGTGTCTGGAGCTGAGCAGCCAGAACTATTTCAGTCATGCCTTTGGAGTCCTACTGCAAATATTCAGAGTTTTAGAACTTCTATTTATGTGAGAATGGGATACCATAGATACCATACCTACCGATGGATGCACTGTTTTGCATCTGTTCGGTTTGCTTTCCTATGGGAAAAACAATGACCATTGCTAATTTATATGCTTTCTAAAAACATTGGTTTGTTGGGTATAAAATTTGGTTTCTCTGGGTCATAATACTGCTGCCAGACAGATGCATGTTTTGCATGTTATTAATGTAACTTCGAAACCAACAAAGACAGTGAATTCATTGTATTTTAGATACAATTTAAATCAAGAAAACTGAAACTTGGGAAATGGCTACTGGGAATGCAAAAATACTTCTTTTAAATTTGGTTTGTTGTTTAACGTGTACTTAAATGTCTACTGTGTAGTCCCTTATATTTATTCTTTCTCTCAGAAATGATTACTGGATGCCTAGTGTGGGCTAGGCACGGTGTCAGATGTTTGGGTTACAGTGATGAATTGTAATGGGAAGAGAAATGTGGACGTGGCAAGAAGATTCCAGGGGAAAACAAAGCTAAACTAATACGAAAAATTAGGACACTGACCTTTGTTTGTACCAATAAATATTAAGGAATTTGAAGTTATTTGACAAGTAGAGAGACCTAAGGATGGGTTTCAAAAATATCTCCAAGTGGTCAAAGTATATTTACAGAAGGCACTTCATGATGACAGAGAATAGAGTGAGGTGAAGTGGGTAAAACTGGGGCAACTAAGAATTGAGCTTCTCATAACAAACTTCTTGACTTCAGAGCCAGCGCAGAGTTTTTAAGGGAGCATGTGAACTTTCCTTCACTTGAAAACGTGAACGTTGGGCCACCTCCCACTCTGTCAGATGATTTAGCTTTTATCTGCTGTAGACAGGGGGTTTGAACCAGACGGCCCTTCTTGTCCTTCCCACCATCTCTGATTCTCTGATACATGTGTTGGAAAACAGCTTTTGTCAAAAAGCAATTTGCCATAATTGGTTGTTTATGACGTTTTTCCCGACTCTGTCCAGAGTGAAGTGAGGTGTAGTCTGTAAGGAAGAAGGTGAAGGTGACAGTCAGTTTCATGAAGGGTACCCAAACAGCCTACTACAAGTGAGGCCCCGAATCATCGCACCACTCTCCTTTTAACTGATTAGGCCACATCTCACTCAAAGATGAAGCATTTCATCTCAGGAGTAGTTCCTTTTTATGGCAGCATTGCCCTTTTCTTTGCCATAATTAAGATTCTGTCACTGTTTCCCTTATAAACTCCTATTTTCTGGAATTTATAACTAAAGGCTAAAAATTCCTTCTAGGCTGCAACTTGAAAACTGCAATCTGATCTTTTTACATGTTGGATTTTTTCCCCCTTCTGTAAAGGAAGAAGAAGTTCAGCTGAGCTTAAAGGGGTCCTGATGTGGGAAAAATTAGACTGAGGATTTTCCTTTAGTTTCCATTCTATTGTGTCTAATGAACTTTGAGTTTACAGACTCTGAACTTTTAAATGTTAGATATATGCCTTAAAGGACTATTTAGAAATAAATGAGGTTTGGAGTTTGTAAGAGTCTTATCTTTACTATAATATTTCACCAACTATACTCTAAGGAAAAATGATGAATAAACTAACTAGAAATCCCTTCTCAAAATTAGTGCGTTTTTGTAGCTAATTATTTAGCTATTTCTGAGCTTCCCTAACCCATATAGCTTTACGCCACAGCTCTAGCAGTCTCATCCAAGGAGCATCTGTTAATGATGGCAAGCAATAGATTTAAAAAGTAACAGAAAATAGCAAAGGAGAAGCAATCTTTGCCTATCTCGTTTAGTTTTGGTTGAGGGAAACTGGGAACGCTGAATTCATAGAACACTGCATTTCAAAGGCAAAGAACAAGCTCAGTAGAAATGTTACCTTAGTCCTATTGATCCCTGGGGTCCAGGAAGCCAAACTTGAATCAATTGAACTCTACTTGGTTTACGATAAATGATTTGATGAATCTCCCCCAAAAAGTCATTTTATTTTTTCTAGGTATACAAGTCTAGGTATAAGAGAAGTTATTTACTTCGCAAGAGTATGCAAACCTGAAAGGATAAACATTCATTAATTCCTGTCTCTTGCATTCATGTCTGGATGTGTCTGACCCTCAGACCTAAAAAAATAAGAAAATTCAAACCTACAAAATCATCATTTTTATGCTTTTCCCTTTTCTTCCCCTAGGTAGATATCCCCAGCATTTAATGTGAATGTCCTTGCTTCTGAGACTTTCAATTCTTTATTTTTTATATAAAAGTAGGTTTCTTTTGATTTAAAAAATGCATTTTTTTATGCCAGAAGGGAGATGTTTTATGTTTTTCTTTTATGTTCTCTTCTTTTTAGTCCACATGAATAGGTTTACCAGTTTTATTTTTTATTTTCAGATGAATACAATTTCATGTTAAGCTGGACGAATTTATTCAACCCCAGTTCAAGTACAATTTTTTAAAAAATAAATAAAGCAAGGTCAGGCTAGCTTTGGTTTTTAAAAAATATTTTCTTTTATAATAAATTCTCTCTCAAATGATGCCTATGTGTATATTTTGACATAATCATGGGTGCAAATGTGCAGTGTCTGAAATCTAAAATGACACTGGAATATCTTTTCTTGCATTAGCATTACTTTAGTATTCCTACAACAGAGGATGATTTGAGGAAATGCAGAGGCTTTCGGCTTATATATATACTTCTGATTATTATTCCACTTCCTATAGCTACAGATCCAATTTCATACCATGATGGATGCATCTCTCAGAGTTCAAAAGAAGTGATGGCAAAAAGAAGGGCTTTAAATAAGGCAACCATGAGAGCCCAAGATGTAAAATTTGAAATCAAATGCCATAGAGTTAAATGATGATCTAGGTTTTGATTTCTGCTCCAACAACTGAGGTATATTTGGGGTCTTCAAGTGTAGCGTCATGTATGAAAACAGTACTAGGAATCTAGACAAGGATGACTGTGACATTTATGTTCCATCTCATCTAGTATTTTGTTTTAATCAATGACTTTAAAAGCCATGTCCTGGGAGGGCAGAGGTGCCATCATTTTAGGGGAAATAGATAAATCACCACACACTGAAGAGGTGCAAGAATTAGGCAAAATGTTGAAATGTTGTTCTCACTTTATTTTTGGCATTATGATGCTTTAGACATAGTCAAAAACTTACTGGTGATTTCAGCATCCTGGAGATTTCAGGTAGGTATTGATAGGTGGTTTGTAGAATATTCTCACAAGTGTAATTGCATTAAAGTAACAGATGATGCTGTTGGTACTTGATGATTATTCTACATTAAACTTAAGAAGCAAATAGTTATCTGGCTTTTTTGCACTCATGATGTGTTTATAATAGAAATTTTTGATATGCAACAGAAGTTAATTGACTATTTCGATTTATTTGATCTCTTCCCTGGTTAACAACAGAAAGGAAAGAGAGAAAAGAAGGAAGGACAAAAGGAAGAATTCATTCATTTGAGGCACAATATTGTGCCTTCAAGATGCCAAGTTCAAAAAGAGGATACTCTTTAATAAGGTAAAATGAATTGAATATTAACGGTATTGTGCAAATTAATTTACTTTGCAATGATAGTGTACGTGATGGGTGTGGGTGAGGCATGAGAATCCTGTGGCTTGAGATAGGGGGTTCTCGTTGACACAAGGGACAATACAAGGGGGAAGAGGGACACAAAAGAGGAGGAAACAGATGCCAAAGACCAATTTTGATTTTGTTCTTGGATTTGTTTAATGCTGACCGTGAACAAGGTTCTCATAAGTTCTATCAAATAGTACTGAAGATAAATACTACTCCTTTCAAAATTTAGTTGAGTTTCTTTGTTCGATAAAATACTAGTAAGTAGAACACCCCTGGAACCAGAGGCAGGAGATTGGAGCTTGGCTGTCACTTAAGAGCTGTCAGCATCTTTCGACTATTTTATTAAATGAGGGACATTTAATGGTATCTAACATTTATCTGCCTTATGAAATGCAAAAACGTATCCATTCGGTTCTATGAACTCCATATTAAATTGGACAACCCTAGGTTTATATTTCCTATTGTCCACATGTACAAATTGATAAACATT